GATGGATGGGTAAAGATGATGGATGGATGGGTAAAGATGATGGATGGAATATGTTAATCTACTTATAAAATGTGTGTTAGGTGAAATTTAAATAAATAAGTTCTCAGGTTTTGAATGAATTTATGGTTGAAGGTTTTTTTGTGTCTTTTCTTAAACACGATGGAACGTCACGGACAAAACTGGACAAAAAGACGTGTAAAAAAGTGAACAGCCTCAAACGTTGTCCAGAATTCACGACTTGTGCGGTGACCGGTTTCACACCAACATGTCTGACATGAGGGGGACACGGTTTTCTACTAAAGCTCAGATTTCTGACGGGATGTAAACGAGTCGGTTTCTTTGACCGGGCTGCAACAAACCACTTCAGCTTAAGTATTAAACTAAAAGATGCGAGTACATCTGCGTGATGGCGTGAAGCAAAGACGACCCAAAGAGGCCATTAATGACAGTTACTTGCACGTAGTTGTCCTTTTAATACCACATTCATTTGATGAGTTGCACACGAGACATCACGAGTCACATTGCCTGCTCTAAATGTGCAAGTTGTGAGTTAAACAATGGTCCAATGTGAGTTCTCCAACACACCTGGCATGGTCCAGAGCAGACAGAGGTCCAGAGTGGTTCCAGGGGTAACTAGGGGGGTGAAGCTCCAAGTCGGAGGCTTTAACAGCCTGGTGGAGCATCAAGGCGAGCCCGGCACCACCTGCCGTGAGCACGCCAACAGTTGTCAGGGCAACTTTCTTCTTACTGGACAAGTTGGCAAAAGACATACTGGCCTGTGAAAAGAAAAGTAGGAATCAAGTTTTAATTTAGATCAAAATGCTAAAAACAAATAAATGAAACTAAAGATCTCTATAAAAACAGTTTAGACAACTCAGGACAGAGTTGAACTCATTTCTCATTCAGGATCAGAGTCTGCGCTGCCACCAAGTTAAATCAAAGCATAAATAATAAATAGTGTTATTAACATTATATATATATGAATTAATGTTTCTGTTCAGTCCCTGAGAAGACTCGTGTTGTGACTGGGAGCTTTAGAAATAAACTGAATTGAAAAAGGTTGAATTAATCCATAACCTGGTCTTTCACTCGGTATTTTCACACGTAAACAGCTTCTGCTATTTAACCATCACTTTGAGTATTTACGTGCATGGATGCAGATGTGTTCCCACAGGCCAGCCACCAGTAAATCCAGTGTGGAACCAGTGAATCCAGTGTGGAACCAGTGAATCCAGTGTGGAACCAGTGAATCCAGTGTGGAACCAGTGAATCCAGTGTGGAACCAGTGAACGAGTCGAGGACAAACGGAAATGTTTTCACCGGAAGTCCGAGCGAGCCCTTGAAATGCTAACACGTTAGCATGAAGCAGGTTAGCTCCAAGACTTCCCGCAGCCTCTGGTCCTGCTGAGCAGAACCCAAGCAGGACCAGAACCTCTGCAGACATCTTTCCACTCTCATGGACTGGACTTTGGTTTAGGAAGGAAACCATTCAGGACGAGCTCTGCATGTGAGCCGGGTTACAGACACCAGGCTAGCTAGCTCCAGACAAACGTCCGCGGTGTGGAGCTTTCTATCAAACAGCGGGCATGATGGCGGCTCCAAACACAGCGGGGGTCCCTTCACGTTACGACCCAGAAATCTTCCATGAAGCTCGAGACACGGAGCTCATCGAGAGCCTAACACGAGCACAAAGACCGGTGACCTTGTCTCGGTCCACCGCTAGCAGTCAAGCTAAAGTTAGTCCCCGACAGGAGCCTTAAGTCACCTTTCTACAAACTGCAGGTAAAACCCCGAGCGGCTCGGACTAAACTCGTTCTTCCGTCTACCTTGGGAGTCCTGAGAGCAGTCCCCGCGCTGAGCAGAGCTCTTCCATTGCCAGAGAGCGCCACGACTCGAAGCGCCGCCATCTTTGCTGCGGTTGTCTTCTGTGTGGAGTCACTGCTTCCGGTCTGCCCATTCAAAATAAAAGACTTTCTGTGTGGAGT